AAACTGATGTTATGTCTTGAGTTTCTGTCGATGTAATAGAATTAAATATTTTCGTTAAAAAAATAAAATCTTATTACATTTTCTAGCATCGTGTTAAAATGTTTTATTTTCTTTGAAAATGAATGTTTTCTAACTAGGTGTCAGACCCGTCCGATGGACGGGGAAGGCATACACATTTAGACATTTTTATATAAATTTTGTATTTTTATAAAATATGTAATGATTTCAGTTTTAAACATGATTACCTCTGGTTTTACAGGAATTTGTTTTTTTTAAATGACATTTTAAATACACTGGTGATAAGGTTTATGCAGATCTCTCTAAAATTTGTTAGGATTTGGTACTCTCTCCAATCAATCTCTGTGTTAAAATTTGGTTCATGAAAATAAGGGTTCGGTTTTTATTATTTTTTTAAAAAAATTATTTTAGTTGCTTTTTTTTTTTGGTTTTATTATTTTGTTTTGTGCATTTTTAAGTCTAAGAAATTAAAAAATACCACATAAGATTTAATCCTATGTGTCATGTGCTCCATACCTTTAATTTTCTCTCTCTGGTTTTTGCCTTAGTATAATATATAGATACTGTTCGGAATACCCCACTGTTTCCCATGCACGTTGGTTTTGTTCGTAGATTCGAATAACTTTTTTGCTTGGAATCTTATCGCCAATACGTGCATTGATACTGCAGAATCTATTCCGGTCGCGACTTATGAAAAGAGAGAAAAGATATAAATCGCAAATTTCTCCCACATTTATTTATTCATCATCTTCACGTTGGTTTTATTTATTCCGGGCGCGATTAATCTTTACTTGTTTTCTTTTATTAATCGATACGAGATATTATTACAACATTTGAGGTGAACATGTAGAGAATCATAACTTTGATCCAGGTTGAAGAATCAAGGTTATTTTGGTTGTTCTTAGTTACTGTAAATAGTACTAAGTGTAGAATTCAATTTTTAGTCTTGTGTACAATTTTACCCTTTTGAGTTGTATTGTGTTATAATTTAAGTCAAATGATCTTTTCACTTATTAGTACTCAGACCAATTTAATAGCGCGTATGATTAGCAGCTGACTCATACTGTACAGATTATGCAAGTTAATAATACACAATTTTCCACAAATCCCCAATCTGAAACTTCATCTATGTTCTTCGACCAAACCTAAACCCTAGATAATAAACTCCCTGATTCTTCTAGAGAACATGCAAAATATAGAAGTAGTGAGGCAATTACAACTAAGGGGTTTGCAGTCTTGCAGAAAGATTCTCAAATTACAGGGCCGAAATCAACATGGGGGATAAGTTTCTTGTTTAATTGGGCTGTTCTTTCTTGATTAATTTCACGAATGATCTCGGTCCAATTTTATCTTTGGGCGTAAGCATGCAAGGATTGGACCAAATTTATATAAAAAAAAAAAAACTTGCATTAATTTGTTAACCATTTCTTGTGGGTCATTATTCATGAGTCGTCTAAAGTTTCTATCGCCCATAGTGGCGAAAATAGAACTCTCGGCTTGGAGGGTTAAAGAAAACATGAATAATAGCTAAAAGAAAGTGTACACTTCTCATTACCACACGCAATTAGGTCTAGGTTATATTTATTAAGTCGTTAATCATATTTCAAAGACAGGAACTTGAAAAAAAAATTAGGGAGGAAAAAGCTTAAATAAATGTGGGTTTCCAAAAAATTTAAATTAAATTAAAAACAAGTGCTGAAGCTAAATTTTACTATGGGCCGGATTTACATGTATTAATTAGTATCAGTCGAGGTATACTGTGGGCTGGATTTGAAACACTATCATTGGAACTGAATCATGCCTAGGTACGCAGTGGTTTGACAATCGTTAATGTTTTTAGATATGCCTTCAATTTGTTGGATGTTGGACTGTTTGATGGGTGAAAAGCTTTTGGCCCAGAAGTCATTTTTCGTACAAAACTCAAAATGAAAAATAAATCTATCAACCAAATCCATTGTGATCAAATGAAAGGAATTTCTTTACTTTTAACTTGGTTTTGAGTACAAAACTCATTATACTAGAATTATCCCGCGGATTGCGTTACTTGTATTGTATAAAATTATAAAATTATGATTACATGTGAGAGCCGAGCGTTATCGCCGTGATATGGTAAAATGTGTGTCGGGTTTTGTGATATAATAATTCTTATTTGTGTTTTGTTGTGTACATTTTGAAAGGTAAAATGTTAGTATAAAATTTTAGAACTAATAATCGATAAAATTGATAATAAATTAGTAGAGTAATTTCGTAAAGTTTTACAAATAAATTTAGTAAATTCAAATGAAAGTTTTAGGAAGGGAAAAAATAAATGTAAAGATAAATAGTGTTTTATACAATATCTCTTTAGTAATATTTTTTTGTTAGATTTCCCTAAAAAATACTACATTTTACATATACATGATTTTTCATCCACTAAAATAAATTTTATATTTTTTTTAAAAAAATTCTACCAAAGTGAACTCTGTTTAAAAATGTGTGAAAAATCATTCTTAGCACCCAATAAAAAAGTTAAAAATAATTAGCAGTGAAAAATGTGTGATTTTTATTATTAATTAAGTAGATAATCAAATATCTATGAAATATAATAAAGATGAATGAAACAAATGAGTGAAAAGTAAATTAAAATTACTAATTTACAAAAAATTTTAACACTTTGATGAAATGGGGTCTCTAGCTTTGACACGTGTCAAAAAAACTCTGAACTTGACATGACAAAGAAGACTCCGAACTATCTAATTGATCGTCACGTGTCGATTGAAAACTCTCCGTTAATATATAACATAGATTTTTGACCAATTGTCTTGTCCATTGAAATTATTTTGAGGTCCTATAATTCAGTAAACATTACATTTTATTCATATCATGAGTTGATTTTACTCAATATAGAAATCAAATAATCTGTAGTTGATTATTCGCGACCTTGTTGTAGTTAAAAAGCACCAATTGTTGGATGCAAAATTGATATTTGCGATAAACATATTTCAACCTCTTTTTTCCGCAAGAAAACGAGTGACATCTTCTCTCTTTTCCATAGAATTAAATCCCACAGAAACCACTGTATCATCATTGTTATTACGATTATTGATTTCTATTGTTTAACATATTACACACGCAATTTGCGTAAGTATTGCACTCCGTATTTGCTTTCACTTAAACAAGACTAAGACCGTGCCTTGGCATGTACGACTTTTCCAAGACATCATCAGATAATTCTTTGGAATGAATACACGATGTCATTCGCGTAATGAACTTGTAAAGAATATAAAAAAAAAAAATAATAATAACTAGTCAAAACTGTCACCTTACTTACCAGCTTCTGAAACTACTTTTTCAGATGTATATTACGGAGTATAAAAAAGAAGAAAAATTTTACATTTCACGGTTGAAATTTTTTTTCTATCATTAAGATAATAAGCAATTGGGACAAATTAAGCACTGTTAAATAATAGGTTAAAAGATGTTAGGACTCCGGAAGGTTGGTTCCCTTTGCAAATTTCATTCGAACGTCAAATCACTTGGCGGCTTTGAATGTGGAAATATCATCATAGAATAGTTGAGAATGGCTAGTTTGGTCTAAAATAAAGTGCTCCAAGCATCAACTTAACCAGCTGGAGAAGCTTTCAGCAAATTACGTTGCCATAACATAAATTAATATTTTTTAATTAATTAAACTCCATTCGAAATTTAAAATTTAAATTAAAAAAAAAAGGAAGAAGAAGAAGAAGAAGCTAGCAACCCTCAACAATCATGTAGTAGTATGCAGGAGCTGTTTTTGGTATAATAATTGCGATAGAGTGGCAGTGATAATAATATATACTTTTCGGATAGGCTTTGAGGAAAATAGGAAATAAAAAAGGTAATTGGTCTTAGATGTTTTAATTATTTTTTCCTTTAACATATTTGTTGAGTGTCGAGACAACATTGACGATCGAAAACTAGTTCAATTCCCTGGATGGTTGGTAGATTGAATTATTGATGTCTTGGGCAAATCTTTGTCACCTTTGTCAGTGCTCCCTGCAGGTATGCATTTCTGAAGTCTGCACCTCACACCTTTTTATTGCTTCTGTTCACTGCTCTCATATTTCCCACTGCTCCTGCAGTCAATAATTATCGGTATTCATCAGCTTCTCATGGACTCCTAGCTGGTTCTCACTACTGTTAATGGAATTGTCAGTATTCACCACCTTTCCCTGTGAGGTATCGATCAGAATTTATCACGTTCTCCGCATTCTCCAAACACATTTCAATATTAGTCTTTTTTATAAGTCATTTTGATGTTTCTAAATTTCATTCATCGAGATTTTCCAATTGGAAATTAAAATTGAATAATAATTACAGGATAAAAGAAATGATTAGGTGAACACAACGAAATTTAAGAGGATTCAAAATACCTTATAATAAAATCCGAAAGAAGTATTAGGATAAAAAATAAAATAAATGATTTTCCAAAAAAATATTATTTGTTCCGTTCAAAACTAAATGTCATTAGAGGAAAAACTAAATGTTTCAAAATAGATATTGTTCTCACAAATTGAGACATATTTTGTCAACTTTTTCAATATTATTCTTATATTAGAAATTGTAGTTGTGTTTAATGCAGAATAATACTAAAATTAAATGTTATAGTATTTTAACAAGATAGTTATTGTGTCCTTAAATTTTGTGAAATTTCTCCAGTGACATCTATTTGTGTACGGACGGAGTACGAATTACAAGTTGTAATATATATAAACTATTTTGTTAGGAGGGATGGAATATTATTCTTTGGAATGGATAAGTCTATTGTTATATAGTACCCTAAGAAATATGTATATTAATAAACTAACTTATTAAATATCGATGTTGGAATGAATTTCTAATCTCTCTTTCTTCGGTCAGTTGGAATGTAGGATAGGTACTAGGTAGGATAGTTGCATTATTTAATTCCAAAAACAGTGGAACAATAGGCACTATAAATAATAGATGCACCATTCTCTTCAAATCCTACACCTCCATAAAAACAATCTCATTCCCCCTGCTTTGGTTATCTTTCCATTTGTGTAAAATATGATGAGCTTTCCATCATCGGGGAAGAACTTCACGGTTCGGAGGCAGAAGCCAGAGCTGATTCCTCCGTCAAGGCCGACACCCCATGAGACTAAACCCTTGTCTGATATCGACGACCAATTAGGCCTACGCTTCTACATTCACCAACTCAACTTCTACCCAAACAAAGGAGGGAATGATCAGAAAGACCCCGTGGAAGTGATCAAGGCAGCTCTTGCCGATGTTCTTGTGCATTTCTATCCACTTGCCGGGAGACTAAGAGAAGGACCCGGAAGGAAATTGTCTGTGGATTGCAATGAGGAAGGCGTTCGGTTTGTGGAGGCTGATGCGGACGTGACGCTGGAGGAGTTAGGGGAGGACCTTCAGCCGCCGTTTCCGTACTTGGAGGAGGTGTTGCACAATGCTAACCCAATTCCGGGTTCCGACGAATTCCTCAACTCTCCCATGGTTTTTGTTCAGGTAACACAAATTTTTTTTTTTTTAATCAAATTTGAAGTACGAATTTGTGATATATAGTTGTTTTCTTAAATGTCATTTCTACCACCATGCACTCGTAAGTGTGAAAAAATTGTGAATGTAACAGTCGAAACGCCCAAGGTAAAAGAAAACAACATTTCAAAGATATCAAAGCTTGGAGAATAGTCAGACACCTATGTAGTTTACCTTAAAAGAAGAAACTACATAGTACAATATTAAAAAAATCTTTGCTTAACAATGTCACTTCCATATCAACTCAGATTTGAATTAATTAGTTGGAGAGAATCAAATTAACTTTGTTTTTTACTAATGTATAAATAAAGTACGTACTCTATGCATGGATGATCAACAAATAAGGCCAAAGGAGAATATAAAATTCAAAGATGCCGATGGCTTTTTCATTAAGTTTTTCCACTACATTTACATTCTTTAACATAATTAATATTGCTATCTTTAAGGATATACTTATCATTTGATGATTTGCTCGATGGAACTACTAGGTGACACGACTTCGATGCGGCGGTTTTATCTTCGCCGCGGGTCACAACCACGCCGTCGCAGACGGACTTGGAATCATCCAATTTGCAAAAGCCATGGGAGAAATTGCCAGCGGAGCCTCCGCCCCATCCATACAACCAGTGTGGATGAGAGAGCTCTTATACGCCAGAAACCCTCCGAGAATAACATGCGTCCACCGCGAATACGACGAAGTTATTCCAACCACCGAACAAAATAACAAAATCAAAACTCCTGAGGAAATGGTGAACACATCACTCGTCTTCGGACCGGAAGAGATTTCCGACCTACGCGCCAACTCCCTCCCTGCCGACTTCCGTCAAAAGTGCTCTACCTTCGATCTCATGACGGCCAGCATTTGGCGTGGCCGCATTGCGGCCCTCCAAATGAACCCGGAGGAGGAAGTTAAAGTCGTGTGTATCGTGAATGCGCGTCACCGGTTCGATCCGCCTTTGCCGGAGGGGTATTACGGGAATGCTGTTGCTGCACCGGTGGCTATAACCACGGCGGGGGAGCTCGTCAAGAACCCGCTCGAGTATGCCGTGACGCTGTTAAGGAAGGCCAAGTCGGAGGTGACGGAGGAGTACATCAAGTCCACCGCTGACCTCATGGTTCTGAGAGGTCGGCCCATACTGAATATGTCATCCACTCATTTGGTTTCCGACGTGACTAGGGTTGGGTTCGATGACATTGATTTCGGGTGGGGTAGACCGACTTATGCCGGTCCGGCCAGGGCTGCGTCGGAGATGGTCCCCGGAGTACCCACTACTTTTTACGTTCCTAAGCATAATAAGAACGGGGAGCGAATTGGAACAGTAGCTCCGGTTTGCTTGCCGGCATCTGCCATGGACAGATTTATCATCGAAATTGCAAGATTGATGGGAAGGAGGCCGCTGATCAGATGATATATTTAGTACGTACCATATACATCTTTGCATCATGCCGGAACGGATTCGTAATTTCGCCATACTGTAATCCTTAATATATGTTTTTTCCGTTACAAAATTATTGTTCAGGTTGGATTTTCACTTTTAATTCAACTTGTACTAAAACTAAAAATTCAAATGGTCAATAATTTTGGGACATGGGAAGTACTACTTATGATTTTAAGAATTGTGTGATTTCGTCAACATATATATATTATAATAAATAATTAGAATATGTAAGATTGTTATTACCGAAAAAAAGAATGTACGACTGTGGTGTGTATTTTCTTTATTTTGTTAAATTTGCCTTCTGTATAAATTGTAAGTGAAACATTAGTTACGTCAATCACATTGTAACCTTTTTTATTCAATTATACAGGTTTTTTTTTCTTTCAAAAATTAACTCATGTGAACCTCATAATTGTGTGTGTGTGTGTGTGTGTATTACCTTTATATACTACTAATGAGATTAGATTTCTGAAACTCCAGAAAATCTACTACAGATTTTAGATAGACTAAAATCTCGTTCTCATGCGCGCGCTAAATCCAGCCAAAGCTGCATCGAATTCTCATTCAGAAGTTTGAACTATATAGAACCTCAATTAAAGAAGCAATTTTGTGTTGGGGGTAAAGTATCAGTCTCATAAATGTGGACAACTAATAGAGAGAGATTAAAAGCCTTGTTGTACTAAAAGTTTTTTTAAAAAAAATTGGCATCGTTAAAACGATTGGTACCATTGTTAAAAAGAAAGGCCAAAGTCAAGTCTAATATCAGTTACATGTATATGCTTCTGATTTCTTTTGTTTTGTTACACGTTCTATGTCCAAGCCGGATATGTCTGTTTCAGAAAACACATTTTACAGACAATTATTTCAATCATCATTTAATCTGACAATTATGTAAAGGTATTATAGGAGTGATTTTAAATCATAATGATCATTATATCTTCGTGACTTAAAATTCTAATCAAAATGGTTCATTTAATATGTTTGATTAGAATTCAAAAATGATAGAATATTGAAACCAAAATAAGGCCGAGATCAAACCAAATCGAGAAGCTTGGAAAAAATTTTCAACCATGGTTCGTCGACTTTTTCTTGTAGAATTATAAGTCGACGAACAGGTCGACGGCTGCATATCCAATTTTTATATTTTCTATTTTCATTTGGATTTTAGGTTTGAACGGTTTCAATCAATACTCTTTCAGTTATATCTGGATTGTACAAACATTGAAAGATTCTATAAATTTTAATCCAAAGTCAAATTGGACTATGTTTTTAGGTGATGTGACAATCCTGCAACCGTACAAATAATATCATGGACGTGAATTTTTTCATGTAGGAGATTGGGACGATATCAATATTTTGATATCGGAACTAGTTAATTGTTTTAGTAAATTGTCTTTGTGTATGATAAATCTTGTGTAATTCAAAACTACTGTACTTTTGGTGCATGCAAAACTCGTTCATTTAAGTGTGAGTTTCTTGAATTTGGAGACTTCATTTGTTGTTTAATGCTTTGTATCTAACCATTTCTCCTCGTAAATTTGAATTTGGAGATTTATTCTGAAATCAATTAAATAAAATGAAAAAAAAAGAAAAAAAATCAGATATAAGAGAATGCTCAGAGAATCTGACGATAAATAGTTTCAAGACGACAGTTATTAAGCAAGAGGGATTCGGTGCAGCCGTGCTTGTGCAAGGGAGGACAGTCTTGCTTTGAGTTCTCAAGATTGGTAGATGAATTGCGACATGTAGATTTTATTTGTGAGAGAAAGAAGCATCTTTGCAATAGATTAGTTGATTTTTCTAAGGTTTGACTTGTGTAACCTTGAATGAATGCATATCAATGGTGTGATCAATATGTAATACGAATTTCATAGGGATTTTGTGATGTGAACTAGACGATCTCATGGAATATTGTGATGTTGATTAAGATGATCTAATTCGTGCTAATTAAATTAACATGAACCAACTTGCAACATTTTCATTGTTATTCTGAAAATCAGAGATGTTGTCCATATCGTTACCAACTCCACAACTAAATCCAACCACAACCGTTGTGGATTAATAACATCATCATATAAATATATAGTAAGAAAATCTAAGATGAAAAGCTTTATATGTCAAGGCAATTTACCATACTGAAAAAGGCAAACAATAACCAAGATGGAGGAGGAAAAAAAGTTGAAATCGTATCGAATCTTTGTGCTCGACATATATAGTTGATTTTATGAATGATTAAGTTGAGACATTAATGATGCATACTAAAACTTTATTTCTAAAAAAAAATTCTATTAGAAATGTTCATTGTCATCAACAATTTATTGTTTTCATTATGATGAAAACTGCAAAAAGTAGAGTAACTATCACCATCCAAAAAATAGAGTAACTTTTCTTTTAGCTCTGTATCTCTTTCATATGCTTTAACACTTATTTGCCTCTTTTTAAAAGCAATAAATCTGTTTGTCTAATATATCACTGATTTGTTTTCTCGCATTTGTAAGGTGTCGACTACAGTGAACACAATCGATTAATTATTTTCACTTAAATTGTAGGTAGCTTGAAGAGTAACCAAACAATTTAATCACATTTCGTTGCTTCGGTTCAGACCTTAATGTACATAATGGAGAGACACATAAATGTCATTGAATCATAAATCATACATAAGGTTATCACTGTGCTATTTGCTTTTTTAATTACTATTATTAATAAAATAGGGAAACCGGAAATGTATATGTCCTCCTAAACCTCAAACAAGAATCCCACCAAAAAAATTCGTGTCTGTGTGTGTATGCATTCAAGTCAAAAATAATTGGCAATGATCGATTGTAGCATTCCATAAAATTCATAAGGTTTGTAATTGAAATTTTTTGAAGTTCAGGGATAACATGAAAAGCCATACAGAAGGGCAGGGTTTGTCTAAATAAGAAGCCAAAGCTTCCATTACATAAACCAGAGAATACCAAAAACAAAGACTGATAAGTAGTTTTATTTGGAAAGACTAGATCCAAAGGTTGCATTGAGGAACCTCACACTCGGTTTCATTCCAGTTGCAATGATGAAAGAGTTGAAGGCTGGGGAGTTTGTTGCGGTTGCGAGCACCATTAATGGAGGATCCAAGGTCCCGAATGTCCCTCTTGGCCGTGGAGTGTTGAAACTCCAAGCATGAAATGTAGACGTGCTTAAGCTCCGGCATGGCTGACAATTGTTGTACTATAAAGTTGGTCTCCACAACGTGACACTGCAGATGTAATATCTCCAAATTAGGGATGAACTTAGCTATGGCCTTGAAATGGTGTTTTGGGAAAATGTAGGTTGAAACTTTGAGCACGACCAAGTCCCGGAAACACGAACCCGCCAACTTGTACAGGCTAGTGGTTTCCAGGAAACCATTAAAAGGGATGCTAAGTGAGCGCAGGTTTGGCCAAGATTGAAAACTCTTATTCAGACTTGCTTTTTTGATGGCATTCGGGAATGGCAATACCAGCTGCTCCAATTTAGGGCACCTACATATAATAAAAAATCTATAAAATGACATGTAAAAAAACGTAACATTTAAATATTTACTAATCAATCAAACAACCTATGAGCGGCATGTTTCAAATGCTTGTCCCTAATGTCACTTAAGGGATCAAACACCAACGAAAGTAACTGGGAACCGGTGAGATTTATGGCACGGGCAAACGCGAGATCTATTTGTTGTTGAGCTCTCGTGTGCGTCAACTCTGGGGCCGCATTTTCCCGGAACAATGCGACGTCTATCATTTTCTTGGTGAGGGACGGATCGTCTGCAGCCGCTGCGCGCCAGGAGCTGCACACGCCGGCGGCAATCGTCATTCTCTCCAGAAAATTAAGCAGCGCGAAGATCTTCACCAGCAAATCATGCGGCATCTCACCCCAGTTCCGCCTCCTTGCTGAACGAGTGATTGCCATTCTACTACGGCTAGCTGGAAACTTAAAAAAGGGTAAAAAAATTTATATACGTGTGTTTAGTGAAAATATATTTGAAAGAGACCAATATTAATGTTGGATGGTTGATACCTTAAATCAACAGACATCATTTTGAGAATGGAAGATTTAGTACTAAATCCACTGAGTAGATCTTTCAATTTAATGTATCTGATTATATACCGTTCTAGTTGATGTAATTATTAGGAAGAACTGATTACACATAAAGTACAAGAACCCACATTTTTTTTTAAACAAAAAAAAAAGGGCATTCCCCCGATTTATTGATTTAGATTGTTGAACTCATTGAGCAGTACATAAAGCATGGGTGTTTTATCACTTGACTAGATAGACCTTTCCAACTAATGGTACCAAGAAAATAAACAATAGGTCTATAGAGCTATCGTCTACTATTTTCTAAGGTATGGCATCCAGCTTCATGAAGGATGACCAAATTTTTCAATTTGCGAGGGATTAACGAATAAGTAAGTTGCATGTTTTATATATGGGACTCTGATTATGTGAATCTGATTTTCTTAACATAAAAAAAGGGGTTTTTGACCTGTATATTTTGAAATTTAGCTAGGTAAATCGCTTTATACGATGAATTTCCACCAAAACAAATAACAATAATAAACATAAAAACATACAAACTTCGAATGTAATAATTTAATTAATACATCTAAACAGAGTGAGAAAAATATTCAAACAATTTTTTGGCTCAGTAATATACAAAACAATAAACAACAATCAACCTAATTTACCAATCGTTCAAAATGATTTTGCTATCAGGTTACATGTATAAAAATAAAATCAAAGGTTCTCAAGATTTGATGGAATTTTAAGAACTGAAAATTATACAAAGTAAAAAAGAACACAAAAAGAATGATAAAGTATAGGAGTATATAAAATTCAGTTTTCAAGAAGAAAAGAATAAGAGTTAAAATGAATTACCGATTTGATATGATTTCGTTGGATGAATAAAATGGCCACCAATTCGACGGGCGTACAGAAGCTTGGTCTTTGTAGATGAACCTGCAAGACAAATATATAAGATCAAAATGAGATCCATTCCTGAGGGTCCGAAGAATAAAAACTGTTCCAATGCTCAGAAATTGTATGTGAATTAACGGTTGAATATAAAAACTTTGCTAACAAATTAATAGCTCGGGTATACTTCACTTACTACGTACAAGGGTTTGAAACTCAATGAAGATGACCTTCAATGGCGGAAGAACTCTTAACCCTGAAAAGAGCCTTATATAGTACCTTGCGTGGAGAGACTAGCATGCTGTTGACCAAATAATAAAATGAGACAGTAATTCATGTGACATTAAGATGAAACCAATTATATTAATCTATCTAGGGAAAATTAATAAAGATAATGATATGTTTCCACTCTCAATATCTTAGCATATTAGCCATTGTTCAAATCATCAACTTTATCGGTAATAATAATCAAAAGTTTATGTACATTTTAATTTTTTTTTTTGTTAAATATAATTATGCTCCATATATACAGAGAAATGTTTTCCCTTTATGCTTGGTACGTTTTTCTCCATTTGTTTTTCTTAAACATAGATTGTAGCTGGCCGGTATGTTTAATTTTTTCAACATAGTCAATGTTTTCTTTCTCCATAATAATTATGAATTTTGTCCTGCTGTGAAAAGATTGTACAGTTACTTTTCTCAAATAATCTTAGGCACGTTCGTAGGAATTGGAGGATTATATATAATTTGTTGTTTGGGGATACATAGCAAAATCGTATACACTTATTGACATTTATCAGCCTTGATTTTCCCAAGTGATTAGCATTGATGGTTTCTTTCTCATTTAAGGGGGTAACGGAAGCCACTTATTGACAGTTATTTAAGTATGAAGATATTGTCACAAATATCCAGTTTCATTTTGTGTATAGGTCAAATTCACATATAGATTACAGTTACACAGAAAATATATATTAACATATACAATGAAGATACACTATGCAAACTGTTAGGTTCATAATCACAGTGCAGTAAATTCTCATTCGACCTACAAAGTTGATTTGTTAAAAAAAAAATTTTTACCAAAAATGCTACCTTTTTCTTTGTAGCTGTGATTCCATCTATTATGATGTATAGTCACCGTTCCAAAGCTGCCCCAGCTGTAGATTGTTGTAATCTTATGTCATATGATTTTGTGTTTTTCCTTCCTTGATTTCCGATATATAGGTTTCCCACGTGTTAAAAAATTTGTACTTCTGATGTAAGTTATTTATTTATTTTTTACATCAAACACAGAGATAATAAGAATATTACATTGGTGATCAAGTCCACAATTAGGTCATTGTGGACTTGTGAATGTACGAAGGCGTTATTCGGAAATTGAAAATTTTTTATAGCTAGACATCATCGATACCAGTGGTGGAAGATGTATAATCTCAAATCTTTATCAAACAAAATATAAGAATCGGAGTTGAGGGATTGCAACTTTGTTAGACACATAACTAATTATTTAGTTACTGAACAACCAAACTCACGGTTATTAATAACAACATAAGAAGTTTGTTATTAAAAAGAAGTGAAAATCAATAACAAACTCACGGTTGACCAAATTTTGGTTAAAGAAGTAACATTCATCTTCATTTATCATCACTACTCATCAACGTAATCTCGAAGCTGGATTCGAAATGTTTGACGAGAAGAAAAAAAACAAGAAAGGGATGAAATAAGTGGGGCTAGCTGTCAGCAAATTAAGGAGGAAATGACTTGTTTTTATTGATTTGTTTTGGAAGAAGACACACATCCGTTATGATGAGTCATGAGCGTTACGAGCTTTAGCCTCAGGTTTTACTCGAGGAATACCATAACCTATACAGGAAACTTTTTGAAAAGGTGGGTCAAATTTTGACTGATACCATATGTTTCTCGTTTGTGTTTTAGCCGATGTTTTACCTATTTATTATGTAATCTCCATTCTAGATTTCCTCAGCCCCTTTGGTTCTAATAGTTGTAGCATATGCAATTCTTAGAACTGGAAATTTTGACCAGGCAGTTTCACTCTCAGTCTCATTTAGGAAGAAAAAGAAAAATGTCCAATCCCGACAACAACATTGCCCCAATGTCGTACGATAACGTTAACGACGACAACAACAATCACAACCCTGCTGATCCCATGTCTGATGACTCTGAAAACTCCTCCTTTTCGGTGACGAGCCGACCTCCAAGCGCAGGTTCTGAGCCGGCCCAAAACGGCTTCCGTCTCCCTCCGCCGCCCGCACCTGAGACCTTCAAAATCATGCGGGACCTGCATCATTACTCCGTCCTCTCAAGGATGAGGAAGGCGGTGGAGTGGAGGCGCGATCGTCTGGCGAGAGGCCCTCCGGAGGCCTTGCAGAGTACTTCATACCCTGGCGGTGGAATGGATGATGATATCCGCGACATTGAGGCGGTGATGGAAGGGCAGAGGGATCTGGAGGCACTCAGGGCTGAGCTGCTGAACGCCGATAAGATTTGGCTGAGCTGTTTGGAAGAATGCAATGCTGTTGTGGAGCTGTATCGTGAGTGTGGATGGACACCGGACATCACCATTTTCGCGTCTGGATCCACTGAGGTGCAGGCCATGGTTCATGCCTTAGAGCCGGTTCCTTCAAGGTTTTTGGGCTTCATTTGTTGAATTGTTGAGGTTGATTACTTAGTTTGCTTGGGAAATTATGTAATAAGTCTTGGATGTTTTCACTATAAGTGATCATCCTAGCTAGATTTCCAGCTCTCTTTGATCTTTGTTGTTGTGGAAAACATTGATTCAATGCAATGAACTTTTTTTTTTTTTTTTTTTTGCTATCTCTACGTTCTCCTGTGGTGAAATATTCCTAACAAACACCGTTCGATACATTACAAGCAATTATAAATTTTTTTGGAATAAATGTTGTTTTCATTCCATTTTCCTGAATTGAATTACAGACTCCATATTAAACAATTCAAGTACTTAGACAAAAACATCACCTAAAAGCCATAACAAACCAAATTACAACGTCTTACGACAAAGATACAACCGTAGCTTATCAAGAAAATATTGGTGTAATACACATTGTTTTAGCCCAATGCTTGTTCTTCCTGGTGTTCTTCATCTATTTGATCTTCACCAGGTTCATATTCAACGCAAACTTCATCTTCTGAATAATTTCAAATCCTTTAGCAATTATAATATTTTGGTTTTAGGCATCTTTTGGTAATCCAAGGGATTTGATGTAATGTTGAGAAGTTAGACTTCGCATGATTCTTGTGGATTTAAGAAGTAATTATCTTTTTCTAGACTAAAATGAAAAGTAGTAGCACGCAAATTTTGCAAAATGAAGTGAAAACCATGCGCATTACAGAACAGAAAATGTGGTTACAAGGGAAATGGCTAGATTTTTCCAAGTGGATCACCCATTAGGCCATCACAAGAAGCTAATATAGACGTGGCAAAACCTATTAGCTCATTACGATCTTAATTATCACGATGAAAGTAAACCCAACAAGGAATACTTTGGTCTAGCAAGAATTCCAGATCTCTTTGAGTTTGTTGTGGAAAATATTGATTCAATGCAATAATCACTTTTTTTCTACTATCTCTACTTTCTCTTGTGGTGCAATATTCCTAACAAACATCTTTCGATTCATTACAATTACTTATAAAACTTTGGTTTTAGGCATATCTTTTGGTAAGGCGCAAGGGATTAATTTGATGCAAGGTTGAGAAGTTAGACGTGGCGTTATTCTTGTAGATCTTAGAAGCAATTAGACAAAAACGAAAAGTACTAGCACGCAAAAAATCTGCAAAATGAAGTGAAAAGCATGCGCATTACAGAACAGAAAATGTGGTTACAAGAGAAATGGCTAGGTTTTTCCAAGTATTAGACTTCACAAGAAGCTAATATAGACGTTGCAAAACCTATTAGCTCATTACGACCTTAATTATCACGATGAAAGTGAGCCCAACAAGGATTACGCCTTGCTTCTCAGAAAATTGAAAGTTAATTTCATTAAGCAATTCAAATTCTTGAGATTTGACTATTTTTCTTGAACAATTAATTACAGCAAAAGTACCAAAAATTTGCTCTTTGTCATCATTTGATACCAGTTGTTTAAAAACAGACCGTGAGCCACCAGAAAGTCAAATAGTGTCACCTTTTGCTATTCTGTTAGATTTCAACGCAAAAAGTAACGGTCAACGGCTAATGCACGTAAGGTACTCGTGCATTTGATGAAGGGTATTTTCATCTTTTTACTATATTGAGGGTCCGCGTCAATTCCCAGTAAAAAATATTAAAAAATAAAATAAATCATTATCAAAAATATATTATTGTTAAAACATTAAATTTAATCGAGCCACTTCTAATTTTAAGACAATTTCCAGTAAACTAAAATTGAATTGAACAAATCGAAAAGCAAATATTCGATAATTGCCAGCGGAATCGAGGAAATCCAGAGCCACCATGACCCTCTGAGAAAGAGATGGTGTGGTCTGTATTCAGCTTTCATCGCTGCTGTCAAAACTTGATGGACCGTCGCTTTGACAATCAATTACAATCAATTTAACATTGCTCCTTCGCGTTTCTACTCTGACCCCAATCCCACTCTTTCTCTTCCTCTTTTCAGCAAGGAGAGCACATCAAGACCTGGGGCCGTCGACCAAGCTACTGGGATTCTTCAATTTTGGTGGGACATGACAATGTCCGATATGGATGCCGGTACAGAATACGTACCGGATCCCTTGAACAAATCTTATATTAGTTTACTAGAAGAAGGGGAAAAATGGAGATGATGAAGAAGAAGAACTACTTCTTTTCCATTCCCGACAGCTGCAGCGGCAACGGCTACCGTGGTTGGAGAAGAAAACGGGAAGAGGATGCCTATTATCCTTTTTATGTTTTTAATTAAAGTACTGGACAGGCCTTTTATAAAATATAAGGAATGGGCTTGATTTTTTATTAGATTATTAAATCCAAATAGAACAAATCTTCCATAGTCTATATATATGAAGGGTATAAAAGTTAATAAAATACATATCAAACTTTTTGTCCTCACAGCATTCCAAGTCATCCCTTCTGCTTCCTTTCTTTGCCGTTCACCGCCAACCGCCAAAAAGACAAAAACCTTTAGATCTTTGGAGGAATACTCTGTTTATCATATTTTTTCTACTTTTGGGTTCTTAGGGAGATGGGTTCTAGACCAATTATGTACAGGGGCTGCCGACGGCTGGGGGCGCCAGTGTGTGGTGGTGCAAATTGCAGCGATCTAATCACAGCATTCCAAGCCGTTCACCGCGAACCACCAAAAAGACCAAAACCTTCAGATCTTTCCGGCGGAAGCTTTTCCTCTGCTTATTGATTGAAATTTGTCATGCTCTCCTCAAAAAGCTTTAAAAAAATAATAATAAACCAGACTCCTAATCGTTCTGAAAAATGCAAGATCTGGTGGTTCAATGACCCATTTGATTCAACCTCCGCTGATTCCAGAATAAATTTCACATCCCTTGTTGCGGCTGTTGGCGTCAATTTGGTTGTTGGAAATCGTAAAAAAAAGAATTGGATTTAGATTCAAAAATTGAATCCCACCCGGCCACCGACTATCAAACTCACACCACCTCTTCACTCCTTTCTTTGATTTTGATCCATGGGACTTCAAGTAAAAATTGATATATCTTGATTTAAAGTGTTTTTTTTTTTTTTTGAAGAAGAAGAAGACGATGGTGAGTTAAACTAGTTTTTGGGTAAATTTATTATGAAGATGAACACTGATGGTGTTGTGTAGGTGATCGTGGGGCGGCATTGAGAGGAATGAGGGATCTTTTTTTTGATAATAATAATTATTTATATTTTTTATTTTTGAAAAGTCAAAATTACCCTTTGGTCAATACACGTGCCTTTCACGTGAAAAATGATTTGACTGTTAACTTTTTACGGATCCCTAACAGAAAATCAATTGGTGAGACTCTTTAACTTTCTAGTGACACGTGCTCTATTTTTAAATATTTCGTATCAAACAAAGACAAAGAGCAACTTTTTGGTACTTTTATTGTAATTAATTGTTTCTTGAAAGGAAATGATGGATTGAATTTTAATCATCATTATTTGGCATCATCAATTACACCGATATGATAGTAATGAAATCATTATGAACCCCCCTGAACAGCAGCTGACATTGGAAGAAGCTACTCAGGGTAAGAGATTAACTAAAATCAGCAGTCGTGGATGGAGTATGGACTGCAAATGGTGGTAAGTCATATCGGTTACTTGTGGTTAACAGGGGAAAAACAAAGGCAGGCCTCCTCCGAGCTTATTTGGTGTAACTTTGTTGTGCCCAAACACAGCTTCATATGTTGGTTAGTCCTGAAAGACAGATTATTAACACAAGAAAGGATGATCAAACTCAGAATGTTGCAAGGACCAGCAAAGTGTGAGCTCTGTTCAGGTATGGAAGAGCATACTATCACCTTTAACATTAATGTACATTCTCCCAGGAACTTATTAGTTGTGTAGCCTCTTGGTTGGGAATAAAAACGCCTATAGTATGTTTGAGAAATAGGCTACTCAATTTGTTAAGATTTTGGAAAGGAAAAAGATTAAGACAGAAGTTACTGTTTGCTGCAATTGATGTTGCAGTTTACCACATTTGGGCTGAAAGAAATGGAAGGAAGTTTCGCCAGGAATACATGACTGCACTGACAGATTTGCACTATTAAAGAAGGAAGTTAGTTGGAAGATTAGAATACATTGTAGAAAAGTTAGTAACGATGACATTCGATACTTTGGTTTGAATGTAATAGATTGATAGACTTGTACATATGACTGTTTGTCCTTTTTTGACAAAATGAAATTTGCCATTTTACCAAAACAAAAAAAATAATGCAAATCATCATACTTAAAAAAATAAAGAAAAGCAAAAATCAAAAGTCTTCAATAAGAAATATTATTATTATTATTCATCTTAATTTATAAGATGTGACTCTTATAGTCTAATTAGGTCCAAAAACAACAATCCCTTGCAAAAGATCCCAGAGATGAACCGGTGGGTCATACATGGTTGAAGCCATACAAGAATTACGACAGTGGATCCAGTTACAAATATGAAACACCTTAATACACGGAAAACCCTGGCTGCTTCGAGCGTCATTCGCCTTTGCCATAATGTCGTCGAGGAGCACTAAACTACCCGTAGATTGGATAGTGATTGTAGAAATGTACATCTCCTCAATCGCTTTGGTTCTCGATAATTCTTCACCCAAAGCAGTTGCATCGAAACGAACACAACGTACACATAACACCTTCAATCTGGGCATGTATGAGGCTATATGCTTGAAAAATTCCGGGACGAACTTTCTGCAAGAGATTTTGAGCACACCCAAATTTGCGCAATAGGAATGAACCATTTCAAGGAAATTGTAAGGTGGGAGAATTTCATGATGCATTATTTGAAGAGACTCCAAATCTCGCCACGCTCGAAACGCTCTTGCGAGGCATGGTTTTCCAATGGAATTTGATAATGGCAACACTAAGTTCTTCAAGTTTGTGCACCTAAAACAAAGCAAATCAAAAGGGAATATGTAAAACATCTTAATTGATATATGTAAAAAGGTTACAATTGAATTGAGAAGATTTTGATTATTACCTTCCATAGGCGTTTTTCAAATGCTTCTCCGTGACTTGAAATGAGGGATCAAAAGCGAGGGTGGTGAGATTTAAACCGCTTAATTTTACACCCCGCTCAAATGCAAGCTGAAGCTGGCGTTTTACACTCCGTTGCGGAGTGTTGGGCTTCAAAGATTGCCTGAACTCCCCTATGTCTAGGGTTGCTGTTAGCCTTGGGTCTCCAGCTGCCAAGCACCAGGACTTACACACGCAAGAGACGTTGATGACTCGATCAAACGCACTCAACATCGTGAAGATGTACCACAACAGCTCGTAAGGCATCCCGGACTTCCAATCTCTTTTGTTTGCAGAGCGGGTGATGGCCATTTTGGAAGCTGCAAAATCAGATTGTTTGGAGGATGAAGATGAACTCTACAATGTGCCTTAATATAGATAAAAATAAGTCTGATTGTCTTTTTCAATGAATGTTATTTACAGCTGTACGAGTTTGTAATTAAGACAGAGATTTTCGTGATTATTTAATTTCCAAGTATTACATAGTATGGTATGAAAAAGAAAAGTAATTAGGAGAAAACTTAATTGCCGATTATTTCTTGATAAGGAGAAAAATTTGAGACTCTTAACACTTATATATATTCAGGATTAACAAAATCTCATGTTCAAACATCAGGAGATTACCATCGAAACGCACTCAAAAATCTACTAAACAACAAAACATTTAAAACTTGGAGTAAATGTTGGTTGTTGAGGAATTTACAAATGTCAATCATAATTTACAAATGTCAAATGATTGACGGCAAATTAATACACCAGGCAAAATATCGTAAATGGAAATGAGATTTCGATGTTATCAAAGATTTCTCAAGTAGGTCGAACTTTGAACTTTTTGCTAGATACATGCTATTAATTTCTAAGAATTTATATATTTCTTGGTACACTGAAAAGATTTTTTCTTTTTCTTCTCAACTGAATGCAGTGAAAAAGTTCAGAGATTTATTGATTAACTCATTTCCGAAATTGAAAAAATTTAAGGTTGTAGATAAGTTTACGAGAAATAAAAATCTAGTAACCTTATTACTATCTTCTCTTTTTTGTAAATCAACATCTTGTGCTTTACCAAAAATAATACTCATATTCAAAAAGGAAAAAATAAAAAGAAAAAATAAAAAGAAAGAAGAAGAAAAGTAGTACTTTGGAACGGGGAAGGCAAGAGAAGTGCACGAGGAAAAAACTAATACTAGTACTTTGGAACGGGAAAGGCATGAAACGGCTAATTACATTATTACAACGATTGAAGAAGTAGGAAGCTATTTCATTTTCCAGCAACCGAAACAAAACAAGAAGATGATATAACTATATTACATGCGATGGAATCGACCTTTAGTGAGTGTGTTGATCGTTTTTTAGTGTGTACTTTCAAGTGTTTTATTTTATAGAGAATGTAAAAAAGTTGTATTGGAAATGTAACTCTGCAACTTTTTGCAAGCAATCTTCTACACATACAACTTTTTGCAAGCAAAATACCACACCATGAATGACATTTGTTTTCTCTTTCTTCCTTAGTGCTGCATTTTAATCTACAACGGATGAGAAACTTTGAGAGATTACAATATTACATCGTAACAAAGTATATATAAAAAGAAGAAGAAAAAAAAAACAACTTTACAAAATTGGTTATACAAGAATGTGATGCTAGAATTAATGTAGTAGATACTATCAATCTTCGAAACTTACAAGTTTTCAGATCTATATTATATAGAGAGAGACATGTAGTTAATTTTCTTCTCCCAAGCTGACCTCTCAAGTGGTGTTTTTCCCTTCACTTTGTACAGGTCAAGCCCGCATGGTACCGTGCGGATCATCTTCGGTAGAACCCTTTGTATGTATCCTCCTAAATATCAGGCAGGGCTCCCAAGATGATGTTTTGAGGTTATCCCAGATGACTGACTCAAGAACAAACATTGGCCAAACTCAAATTTGCATCAGAAGTTTGACTGCAGATATGAAAAAAATCGCAAGGAAGGCTTTTCCTAGGCCGTGGATACCTTCAGCAAAGATTAACAATTATTATAAGAAATGGAAAATAGAAGGCAAAAATCAAAGAAAGATTAAGTATAGGTATCATTGTTAGAATACATTGAGGTAGGGTTAAATATGTCTTTGTATCTTGTATTCCGGAAGTTTCCGGTAAACCCTAACCCTAAACCTAGTCGTGTACTCTTGTATATATGGCTGACTTTTGGCCCATGTGAATAGACATATGTTTTACGTTGATCACAATACCAGTCTCTTCAATCATCAAGCATAATACCAGATTGGTCTAGTAGAAAAGTTCGAAATTACATCTCAATAAATACATAACTAGATATGTTTTCACATGTGCTTTGCTCATTCAGTATACGAAATTGGTTTTAACACTCAAAGAACGACACTGTGTAATTATAAGTTTGAAGAGGTAGAGCATCATTACTCAGATTAAGAAAAAACAAAATAAAGAAATAAAAATAGGCATAGCCAAAGAATTACTATGTTAATTTGTAGTCTTTAAAGAGTTTTTCTCTCTCCTTTATTAAAGCCAAAAGGACAACTTCTGCTTAACTAAGTACACTATAGGTAGCATTCCCGGCAATAAGCTTCAGGGGGATAGAAGTTTCAAATCTCGTATATAACTCAAAAAATGGTAAGCAACCAAAGACGGCTAGTTGTATATCACATGGATGATTTATGATAGCATAAAGCTAACTTTGACAGGATAGATTATTTTTTACACTAAATGTATACCAGATAGATGATTCTTGACAGGATAAAAACTTTGACAGGATAGTGATCTTACTTGTTTGACCAGATGCAGCAGCTGGAAGTGCAGGAATTTTAACAGCTGTGGCAAGCAGTAAGTTTGTGTATATCAGATAGATGATTTTTGACAGGATAAAGTAAACTTTAATATTTACGGACACTATTGCAGTTAAACATGGATGCATGAGAGAACCAAATGCCACATACTCTTGTTGCATGAAGAAGCTGGTATCTGAGTAGGAGATGGCCATGGAGCAGGAATGTTATCGTTCAAATCGCATAGGAAGCTCAGACCCGTCGAGCTGTCAAATACTGCATCAGTTGGCAAACTAGGCAAAAGGCATCCAGACTCTACACCTGAAAGAGACAGTAAAGAAAACTTTATAGTAAAGGAACATAAATACTAGGAATAAGGTAACAGCAACAGGGTAAAATTAACTATTTAAAAGATTGGCCACGAATCAAATACTTGATGCTCAACTTTTGTTAGTTATAAGTTTGAAATAGTTTCTTAAAAGGACAAAGCCTACGAGCTATGGGAAAGTGCACAGACTAACGACACCGCAAGGGCCAAAAATTTAATACAGTACACTCGCTGACATCCCCTGGAACCCAAATTTTCTTGATCGTAATCCCTGATGGACAAAACATTATAGAGCGTTCATCCATATTGTTTTTCTTCTCCTTTTTTTTTTCTTTTTTTTTTTTTATATTTACCCAATCTGCTGAATGTAACTCTTCTACAAAATTTTTAATTCATCTAAAACACTCAGAATTTATTTCTGACAATGTTTTTACTTATGTAGTTACCAAAAAAAGCACAAATGCTTCTAGTTATGGCTCTGACATCACCATCACAAATGCAGATGATGCCTATAGTACAAACAGAAAACAAGTGAATTGTTGCAGTAAAAACAAATGTAATCCAGCATTTTGCTTCTTTTTTTTTCAATACCAAAAAAATTAGTAAGAAATGACTTGTAGGTTACCTTGTGGGGTAACTGGTGCAGCCGTCGAAGATTGCCCAATCACATCAACAAGACATGAAAATTCAAATATCAGCATACTAATTTGTAACAATGTAATCCTTTAAGCAGTAAGCTTCATGAACAAGTGCAGACTTACCTTGGACAGAGAAATCTTTAAGACTGATGTGGCACATACTGTAGATATTCCTGGTGATATTTGCTTTCTGCAATTTGAGCCCCAAAGATGCAGCACAGTTTAAAGCTTGCAAGTTGGTAACAAAACTTTGATTCTGCAAATGAGAAACGAAGCTATCCACAGCACTACAGCAAGCGTATGGGTCACTGCTTCCAGTTCCACATGTCTTTGTAACATGGCTCATGTTCGGAAAAACCAGAGGGCACACTAAAACAGAAAGAAACATTAGTTTCCAAGTAAGAATATACTTTTTCATCACTAGGACTCAAGCATGTTGTGATTAAAAATGGAAAGTTTAATACAATCCCCCTATAAATGATAAAAATAACTATTGTGCTCAGTGGCGTCAGTTGACAGGAAACAGTATCATGTAATTGCAACCAAAAACTAAGAAAATTATACTCCCTCCGTCCCAAACTTTTTACCCTGATAACTGTATTTAGCACAACAAACAGGAAAATAATTTCAGGATGCAGGGACTATCTATAACATCAAACATAATCAAATCTAAGCAACGAACTTAAAGAGCCACTTTATAATGCTCACCCTTGTTGATTTTGCAGTTGGATAGCCCCCTGAGAACTTCTTTTGCACGAGTTGGTTGGAGTTTACTAGCAAGCCAACGAAGTGCAATGATTTTGCAATCATTGACCCTAGTTGAGTGGTCAGCTAGGGCATGAGTGACATCCGTGTTCATAAGATCATAAGCTTTTTCTGCAAGCTTATCGGCAGCCTCCACCAGAGCATTCTGACAAACTTGCTCACAGCATTCGTTTACATTGTCAATCTTCCCACAGGCTGAGAGAAGGCTAGACGCGTTTACTGTTTTCTCAAACTCAACAACATCCTTGATGGGACAGGAACCCTCAGTAAGATTTGATGGGTGGATAGAGCATATCTCGTGCAGGGTGTCATTGGCACCTTGACCGACCAGAATTTCTTGAAAGTCAGAAAGGCAGGGTTCTGCAACAGTCCCATTTAATGCAAGCATATTGGTTTCTTTACTAGATTGTCCAATGAGAATCGTAAGAGTGGTTTCCACTTGAGGACAGCATATGACATTGGCCAGATATGGTGCAAAACTACCCACACAATCAATTGACGTCATGCTCATCATACTTTCAGTAGCCGCAAAGTCCAACGTACAAAGTCCTGTTAGAGAGAGGAAACAAAGAAAATTTATCAAAACTATCAACTCCAACTAACATGGTTAAACTCTGAAACTGAAGCAGAATGCCAATGTATACTGACCAGATAATTTTGGGATGGTGCTATTTGTGAATGGAGAAAATGGAGACGGTGCAAGGAGAGGAAGAAGGGGCTGAGGAGCTTCACTAGGAGGGATTTGGGGAAGAAGTGCATCTTTAATTTCAGCAACTATTTCTGGAGTCTTGAGAGATTTGGACGAGTTGCAACTGAACGAAAGGAAACCTGTGTAATCAGCAGGAACACATCAGAGACAAGCACGATATTTATCATTCACAATCATATCAAAACATATCAATGGACTGACAAGAACTTCAAACAACGGAAGGTGTGACACCGGCAGCACGTATTAATCTTCATAATCACTAACTTTCACAACTTTTAAATATCATCAGTACAATAGTTTCATCCCCAATTACCTACATATAGCAGAATGAAGAAGGCATTTTGCGTAAAAGGGCATTCATTGAAGGGAAATTAAAGTAAGTTTCCATCTTCCTCAAGTCTTCCAGTTACAACAGAGGCTGCTACTGTCACACAAAATCATAACTTTAAGGAAGAATTGTTCATATTCCCAACTGGAAACCCTCATTTTGAATAAACAGTGGAACAATGCAACATCTTTCTAGAAACTGGAAGACACAACATACACACATATCCCAGAATCAAAAGCTGGAAGCGAAATTCCAGGCACTAAAAAGACACTTATTACAAATATTTGCCTTATCAATGACAACATTGTAATTGATTTCCACATTTTCCTCATGAAACTTTCTACATACAGTAAACTGCAGAAAGGCAGGGAACAAATGCAGCAGCTTTAGTGAATATAAAATTCTAGAGTTATCTTCCAAGTATACATTGTCAATATATCAGCTCAATTAGCCCAATAAGCCCAAAAACGAAACACAGAGTAGGCAAATTGTCACAAAGGCGGAACAGGATAATGAGAAACAGATCATTACGAAATCAGGAATTCCCAACTGAAAAGAAAAAAGGAAAATGGAGATAGAAGGCAAGAAATACTTACAGAGTAGCAGCAGAACCGCATAAATTTTCAAACTTTGAGGCACACCTCCACTCATGCCTGCCCTTATCAGCTCACTCACTTGCTCGCTCAACCAGAAGAATGTAACAAATAAGGAAAAAGGGTTCTCAAGATTTACCCCCAAAAAATTGAGGAAAAGGGAAATAAATTGAGCCCAGAAACTGAAAAAGAAAACCAACAAAAGAGAAGGAAAATGCTAATCCTTGGAATGTGAATGAAGGAAGGTGAGGAAGACTATAGAGGTCGGATGAGTTGGGGCAGCCATGAATGTAAATTAGCTGCAGAAAATTGGTGTAGGGACACTGTGGCAGTAATCACTTAAAACCGCAATAGCTGTCCGAAATTTGTGAAAGGGTCCCACTGGCGTACTCTCTCTGTGTGTGAGAGAGCGTGAAAGAGATAAAATTAAATACGATTAATTATAGATTACCCCACATATTTAATTATTTTCTAAAGTATCCCTCAGAAAATCAATCATAGTATCTAAGAATCCTAAACAATCTAGCTTCTTCAATCCATCTTTATGTGACTAGTTTTCATTATTTACTCTTTAAATGAACAAAATCACCTCCTACATAAGCTATAAATACTTCAAAATTTTCACCTAAATTTGCAAGAACTACCTATATATATTATATAGTACTCTATAAACTTCCTTTTATCTTTGATAAAGCGATATAGATTTTACGGTCTAAATATCTCAAAAATTTATAACTAAGTGAAGTCATAAATCGGTGAGAGAAAATTCATTGTAATAGTTTCATTCGTTCCTTTTAATGTTGATTTCTCCACAAGGAATAAATAAATAAATTTAATTTTAGCGACCAGTTAACAAAAAATTGAAGAAATAGTAAAAACACAAAAATAGAAGAGTCGTTAAGAACAACATCGGGTTTTTTGTATGAGGTGTTTGGAAGCTGAAGAAAAGTTGAGTGGGTTAATCTGCAATTTTTAAGTCTAAAATTAAGAAAGGCCAAATTGAATGTGTTTCTGGGAAATCTCTCTCACTCACACTCGCTAACTCGGATACACACACACACACACACACCACTTGCAAGTTGTTTTCTTGCTGCATTAAATTCCATCCATTGCCTTTTTTCACGCTTTTTTTCTATTTGTTTTTATACTTTTCTTTTAAAAAAAATAAAAATAAACTGGACATTTCTTTTTGGGTTTTCTGAAAGAAAAAAAAAAGAAAATAAGAAATAAAGAACCACACGCTGGTCACGTGACTTGCATATTCATATTCATAAATTCATACCTCACCCACCACCGCCTTTCGTCTCCCCCCAATAATTTATTCTGTTTTCCACGGTTTCATATTCTTTAGTTGGTGTTTGTGCGGCCGTGCCGTTGAAGGTTTTTGCAGTTTTGACTATGGAGTCAACTTCTAAATCACTCCACACCAATTCTTTCTTTCTTTCTTTTTTTTTTTATCCCCTTGAAAGTTGAAACAACTGTCTAAAATGTCGTTCGATCAACCATTAAAAAATGCGGAACAATAATATATTTTCACAATGAATTTTCAAATATAACCATTAACGTTACGATATTTTAGAAAAAAAAAAAAACTAAAAATCATATGTTTTGCAATTGGAATTTTTAAAAATGAATATTGTTTTGAGATAGAATGATTAATGCTATACAAGTAATAATTCACAATGTATAATAAGTTCACACCGTCGGAGGACTTTGGAAGAAGTTAGATCTCATTTCCTCTAACCAACTTGCATGCATATCTAAAGTCTTTAAAATCATTTCCATTTGAAGTTTGTACACCAAAAATAGCATTTTTGATTCGACGCGATTGAGAATTCGAGAGATGAGATCTATGGTGATATCATATCTCACTGAAACGAAAAGACACTCTGAAATCTGAATTTCATCCTATATATTACTTTCTCCGTCTTAAAAAAATAATTCACATTGAATTTTAAAACTTATACTAACAAGAGAATAAATTTGAAATATAAATGTAGATTATTTTTTTGTGACGGAACGAAGGTAATACAATATTTATGCATGGTTCTTTTTTTTTTGGAAAATATTTATGCATGGTTAATCCGAGAGAATGTCCAGTTAAGCACGACATAATTTCATATAAAATTCTAATTTCTACATGTGGATTGATTATAGGTTGTCAAGTAAAGTCAACTCTGTGGAGATTGAGATCTTGATTTTGGTGGAGAACAATGACGTCTATCGCTTCGTGGGTGTGTTCGTCCGTTGCATATGTATATATAAATATAGTAAGTAGCAACAAATGTTATCAAAATATATATATATATATAGTAAGTATCAACAACGTGATTCTTTTAACATTTGTTGTCTTACTAAAAGGAAGATATGGTTAAGAAAAAATATTCTTTACGTCCAAAATGATTTGATTTATTCATTTTATAAATGGGATAATTTTTTAAAACTAAGAGAAAATGAAAAAAGTAATTCCATATATGTGTTATCCTTAATGCTTTGAAATCTGAATTCTGCATTTGTTAGTGAATTGTGAGTTGTGACCCCCAAATGAAAGGAAAAACATTATCCTTTCCTGAGTCCTGACAGCAAAGGTATTGGGCCTTGTGAGTTGGGGCATTGCTTTCTAGTGGGCCTAAAAAAGAACTCTTCTGATTCAAAAAGCTGCTCCTATCATTTGGGATTCGATCATTTTTATCGTTTACATAATAATGATTTTAGACCCCAAACATTTTATTTCAGACATTTTGCTTCAACCTTATTTTTTTTCGCTTCGTGTTTTACCAGAAATCTCTTTATTATTTAACAAATATATCGCTTGTTGTTTTTCTTCACTATGATCCTTCACAAAATCATAGATACTGCATCTGTCTAAAAAAGAAAGTTCATATTGAATTTTTAAATTTATACTAAAGTGTTTTGATTATGCGGCCTTTAGTATTCTTTTGTCAACTCAGTTGAAATTTTTAACAGTACTACTATCTCTGTTCCGAAAGAATAATCTACATTGAATTTTAAACTTATATTAAAATAAATTTAAAAACTTGATTTGAATTATTTTTGAAAATACCAAATTTAAAAAAGCAATGTGAGTTAACCCTTTGAGATAAACTCTATCATAGTGAAGAACTGGATGTTAAACCCGTCCATTGGACGAGGACGGCCAAGTAAACTTAAATAGAAATTATAAAATTGAGAAAATAAAATAATATACCATTTTATAAATGTTGCGTTCAACAAAACTAGAGAAAAAATAAGTAAATAATTGTACTCAAATTATATAATCATATAACACTTTTTTGTAAACTTTATGTATGATTATGTCGTCAATATTATATTAATAATTGAATATTACAACATTATCTCCTTTTCTTGAAATAACCTTTCATAAGGCATAGTTGGTCATATGCATGAGTAAAAATTGTATACGACAAGTAATTGACCATGTGAGTTTTCTAAAGGGATATTTAGTATTAGATAGGTAAAGTCACATGTGAGTTAGCTACACAATGTTACTTGCATTGCTGTATAATATCAGTTTTGTTTCACTTATACATTTTTTCAACATAAAAGTATCAAGACCTCATATCATTGCACAGTCCAACCTGCTAGTCTATATTTCTAAATATGATCAGAGTACCTCATTTGAACTTTAAATTTATTTTAAGGCGAGTCAAAACATCTAATACTATTGAGACAATTGGTAACTAATGTCTTTTTTAAATATTTACGTTACATTCGAAATTGTACATGTATTTTAAAAGTGAAGAAACTCCTCCTTGTCCATAGTGAAAAGATATGGTCATTTGTGGTTTTCTTATAAGCATGCGTTCATGCTCAAATTACTCTTGATAGGAGACTATCAAAACTTATAAGATTATTTAAGAAGTCAGTAAATTTATTGCTGAAAAGGTGACAATAGGATTCTCCTAAGTTTGAATGATCATATCTACAAGTATATTAATCTCAACTTTCCTGTCATTCGGTTCTGCAATTTTTCTTTCAATGTGTTTTGAAACAATTTTAAAAAATTCCGAACACCTAATATGTTTATTATAACCTTGCTTTTAAAGATGCATGTTAATTATCAACTTTAGTGACACACAATATGACTACAAATAAGAAGTTTTAATAAACAATAATATTCTACGTCCTCTCTTAAGTATTAGCGGGAGAATTGTTTGAAATTACCTTTAAGGATGACATCTTTACTACCAAAAGGTCTCTTAAAATTAATTATATAAATTGATCGAAGTAATTTTTTTATAGATTTGTTAAGAGGTTGAAAATTATATTTGTTAATTATAATTGTTTCATTTTATCTTAAATTAATAATTTTTAATATGCAATTTTATCTACCAACAAAATTAAGCAAATACACAATACCGCTCAATGCCTTGCAAGTAAAATATTATCTTTACAACAAAAAACAACTAATAATGTCATCCATATAAATATTTTTCTCATACCTCCATATCCGTAAAAGAAGAACAATCTCCTATTTATTTTTGACAATCGAAGACATTATACGTTAAAAATCATCATTTAGTTGTTTTACTTATTTATTCGTTTATTTTAGTTTTATTCGCTTTAAGTGTTCATTTTGCTTTCTAGAGATTTATTAGTTTAAAATTTAATGGTAAAAGTGTTTATTTTCCCATCAAGTATCATTCAATATTTTTTTTCCCATCCAAACTTATAATTACATAATTCAGCCAATGTAAATTAATGAAGGAAATTTGCATTCTCATCTAATAATGTTTAATTTTTTTCATCTAATAATAATATCAGTCAACTATATTTTTATTCTGTTTAGTCTTTCTCATATAAATTAATGTGATTCCTTAATGTATTGTGTTTCAGTCTTTACCCGTTTATTTGTTTATTTTAGTTACACTCGTTTTAAAAAATTTTCTGTTAAGAACTTAAATGGGGAGTATATTTTTTTCTCTTAATAATACCATCCAAACCTTTTTTCCTCATTTAATCCTTATGACACTATGTTTACTAATTATAGATTTTTTGTAAAAGATTAATTCTCAAATTATCAAATTTTTTTTGTTAACCAAAAAAAAAACTATCAATTTTGCTATATTTATTCATTATTTTAACTTCTTGCATTCTCTATTTAATTACTCCTTTTGATTTAACTCTTCCTAATTTTAAATATTTTAATTTAAAAGATAATATTGGTGGTTTTTTTATATAATAAAAATATCATCGACAAAGTTTTTTCCTGCCTTTTGATCTCAAATACATTGTTTAATGATATCAAAGATTGAATATCTAGTAATAATGATAGTTGTGCATGCAGATTTGAAGTTTGTTGAGATTTTTTGGTCAGTAGTTAGTACTTCTTTCTTCTTCTTTTTTTTGGTTATTTTAATTTTGAAATTTCTCTAAATTCTATGTGGCATGAATATATAATTAAGGCATTCTCTCTCTAGACTTTGCCTTAGTTATATATATATATAGATAAATAGTTACGGACACATTATCAAGTCACCTCTGTCTGTATTTGATGAGATTATGAACTATAAATAACAAAGCCTGCCTATCACATTAAGTTATGTATTTCCTTTTCACGCTTCTCTCCATCAAATCCTTAAATTTGAAATTTTCCTTGCTCTAAATCATAAAATATAATGTGAATTATTTTTTACGAAAAAAATATTATATAAAGGAAAACCGTTACAAAGGTAATGGGTGGTGACAACAAATATTGCGGAAGGGTGGGGTTCAACTCTACAAGTTTCACTTGATAATAAGAAACCCAGGCAGCTTTGTGGCCACTAACACAAAAACAATCTTTCTTGATAACAATTTTTTTTAATTATTTTTTTGTCAGTCATGTCACACTATGAAGATGCAAAGTTGCATAATCATCATTGAGTTATGGATCAACTAGACTGACTTCATATTCACCACGGTGTCTTCCCCTTTGAATGGAGGGTCCCCTGAAATATCCACAAAGTCTTTGATAACATTTATGAGTGGCTAGAAGAACTTGAAGCTAGCGCACCCGGTTTAAGCGAAGATATTACTTCATAGAATTTGACTATATATTAGTATTATGGATCAAACTTACACAGTGTTTAAAAAAAAATAACATTCTCCAACAATTTTACGTCGGACCTCAGTCATTATATTTTTCGTAAATCCTACTAGCTACTATGTAATATCATTAATAGTTATAGGTGAAAGAAAAAAAAAGAAAAAAAAAAAAACGGCTCATTACGCATTAGTTTAGAACTACTCTCATCTTAATTCATGAACTTCGTTTTACTGGGCAAAACGGAATTTTGCAGATAATTGATATGCAAAAATTATAAGATACAAGCACTTAACTAATTTAAGGACCCCCCCACAAATAATAAACTTTAAAAAATTGGTCGAAGGACTAGTTACGTCCCTTTCTGGAAAAAGGCAAGCCATTGGGTATCTAACATTTGGAAGTGGGCCAGTGAGGGGAGAGTATAGGCCCCCTTGTTCAGTAGGAGCCTTTTGTCAACTTGTGCATCTTATAGGGCCCAAGCTATCACCTTCTATTAAAAGCAGTTGGTTTTGGCAATTTTCAGTGTTTTGTGGACTTGGATGGGCTTGGACCCCCTCTTTTTGTACACGCTAGTTTTTGTTTCAAAGTACATTAATAAATAATCAAAGTGGTTGTGGTGAAGCGAAAGGGACTCATCTACTTTTAATTATAGGTCGAGATATTCACTGTTATCGATAATGGATACCTGCAAATATGAAAAAAAAAAAAAACATTAATAAATACATTGCAAATGATTCCCCTCTTTTATTCTTTGTTTTTTCCTTATTCATTTTAAGTACAACTTCCCATTTAGTTAGCTAAAGAACGATGACATTTATATTGATTGCGTTGATAAGTACAAAATTTAGTGGCTGTTCTTTCTGTACAGTTGTAGTATTTAACATAGCTCCAAATTTAGCTGTCATTGGTATTTATTCCCTCCATTGTATAAGGAAAAAAAAAATTCCAAAAACTAAAAAATTTTACAGTTTTTTTTTTTAAAAAAAAAAGATCAAACAATTACCGGCAACTAAGCGACACATAATATTGAAGTATTCATTTAAGTATAAATAAAAAATAAAAGTAAACTTGTAACGTATCTAGTATGAGTATGAGTATAGAAATTGTTTTAACTTTTGAAATATTATAGTATTATAGCATTGACCATATGGAGATCCAGAGTTACTACTAATATTCCTAAGTTTCCAAAACTAATCATTATTATCTGCATCTTATGCATATATGCTGAAATCTATGGCACTTTCTTTGGTCAAAAGAGACTCTGAGTCAGTGATTGAAACTTTTGCATTATTATTATTTTTATTATTATTATTGTTTTGGTAGCTAAACTCGATGGATCACTGTTTACCATTCCTTTCATTTCTGCCATATACCAGATTCTTGATTCTAGTTATAGATATATCAATTGTTTCTTCTTCTTTTTCTTTTTTAATTGGGGGAAAAAAAAAACACTGAGATGTCTCCAAGAAATCATACATGCTCTCCCACTTGAGCGAATATGACAAAATGATATAAGCCTACGGGGACATCCCACGGGACATCCAAAGCTCTGATACCATCTTAAAGGGCCAAATATAAGTCTACATGTGGTTTCACCTCAAAACCAATTGGTAATGAGGAGAATAGCCTATGGTGTTTATATACTGATACAAAGTGTCTCTAGATACCAATGTGGGATAAATACTTCAACACATATTTTACAGAAATGTTTTGTGTAATGAAACAAACTTTTGTTCTCTGTCTTAATGATTTATGGATCACGGGGATGACATCCACTATGATAAATTGATGAGCTATCGGTTGTACTTCAAGTTCTATGGATGTAAATAATAATTTTGTCGAAAAGTTAATTAAGTTCTTCTCTTCTTTTTTCCCAAACGTACAATATAAAATATGAATTCCAATGACGGGTTGAATGAATTCCCTTTGACAAAGACCTTTCCTTAAAACTGAGCTACATAAATTTAGCAGGCAATGAATTAATGGAAAGAGGGAAAAAAGAAAGAAAGTTTTTTGTGGAAATGGGAATTTGCGGTGGGTACTGCAACTGATTAAGAAACTATACAAACAGACAAGCAATCATGCACATCAATTAGAAAATTAACCCAACCCATTTACCCCTCCTCTCTTAATTTTACTTTACTTGTTTAATCCCTTCAAATGTATGTGAAAATCTATGGGTTCCATTTTTATTTTTTCATGAATCTTTTTGGCCTCCCTTTGTCAATCCTAATTTGCGAACTCGACCTGATGAATAAGGTTGCCCTTTTCTTCTTAAGGGAAAAAAATAATACTAATAACAATAATGATTATACCAATAACAACCATTGATATTGTACCATCATTTTTTTGTACTTAATAAATAGTTTTGCTCAAAAATTCGTCTACTATTTGTGATTATGACCATTTTGATGATGATTAATGTTTATCTTCTCATCTCCTCTCCAAAACCATGGCCTAATCTCATTAAATAAAAAATTGAAAACCTATCCATCGAAACCGGTCTGACTCCAAACCGCATCCCGGACCCGGCTTAGGTCACGCCCCTTGAGTGTCCGGCCGACGCCTTCAAAGACCGAGTTGGCCGCCGTTTGCCGGCTGCGGGCGTACTCACGGGCCAAGTACTCGTGCGGCGGGACCCATTCCGAATCCGGATCGTCGGCCCCATCGTCTGAATCGTGCAGCGACTCCACCGAGTCCACTCGGTAAATTTTCGACCAGTCGGGCACGTTCACCGGAGCCGAGGTTGCCATTTGTCTCTGTCCACGTGGCAACGGCGACAGGCCTCCGCCGACTTCCTGCTGCCCTCCTCGAAATTGGTGCACGATCCTAGGCGAAGAAGTGTTTTTGTAATTGGGATCCTCGAAAGCCAATGACAAGCCCCCGACTTTCCGGTGGCCGTTGTGGTGGAGGTCCGGGATCGGCGGAGGAGGGCGGGCGTGGCTCCTGTAGTTACCATTACTTAAGCTCCCGTTACTGTCAGTGGAAGCGTTTGGGCTCCACGCGCTACGGGATTCGGGTTCGAACTCCTGCTGATGATGATGATGATCGTCGCCGTTGACCATGCCATCCACCATTGACCAAACGTCATCCTCACGGAGCTCCGGCGCGTCGCCCCCCCTCTCAGGACCTTGGTGATTGTAGCTGTAGCTCCCCAACAACAGTTCACTCCGACTGCTAGTCAATCTTCGGCCCTTCGCCATTCAATTCGGAAACAAAAAAGAAAAAATATTTTTCTCCGGCAACCCAGCTCAAAATCCCTCCCCCGGCAATCGGGTTGCCGGAGAATGATCTTTCCCGGCGGCCCAAGTTAACGAAAACAAAACCCTTCTCCCCCCCGTGAACAAAAACTAAATAGTCGTATCGTACGTTGTATATCTAGTATTGGGTTTTTAATTTTAATTTTTTTAAACGCTAACAATCTGCTGTATCTCCATGAATTAAAATTTGGTGAATAAATATAATAAAAAGAAGGAAAAGGGGGGAAGGAAATAAGAAAATTGATAAAAAGGATAGAAGGAGCTTGGAAGGGGAGAGGATGAATATATAGGAGACGATAGAATGCATGGAGAAAGTGAGGTGGGAAAGTGGGGTTCATCGCTCTGAATTTCATGTGAATTTGGGGTTCATTTTGTCTGCATTTCATTGAGTGATGGAGGACAAAAAATAAAAGAAAAAGAGATGAGATATGATAATTAAATTGAAATGAAAAATATGGGAAGAGAAAAGAAGACGAAATTCACAAATAATAAAGAGTGTTATATAATCAAAGGGGTTACGGTAGAGTGATAAGGACTTCTCGATCATTAATCATAGGTCGAGAGTTAGAACTTTACAACATGAAATAATCTTAAATCCTTTGAACAACTTTCTCACCCATCGAGGTAAAATGAGAATTATTTATTGTTATCGATGGTAAATATTTCGTAATATGGGAAAAAAAAAAAAAGAAAAGACAAAAGAGTGTTATAAGAAAAATAAATTGAGTGAATCAATCAAATCCATCTTTTTCTTTGATTTTTTTTCTTTTTTGGAGGTGCGCTGGACTGGAGAAGAAGAAGTGTCAAGTGCGGGGCCAGGTAGGCTGTGGTGGCCTGGATTGGCCTCCGCCATGGGAGATGCAGAAAGTGACGCGCGTTTCGAAGACAGTGTCTTGCACGTGGAAGTCAGTAGTGAACTGATAGTGAACCCTGTAGTTGTATTCAATTTTCCGTTTTCTCTTTAATTGTTTTTTTTTCAAAAAATATTTTTAATGATAATGTATGGTTTCTTTCCCTTTCTTAAAAATATTTTTTATGTCGGAGAGAGTACCAAAAAATATTGAAATTATCAGAATATACCCATTATAAGTCCATAACGATGGAAGATAAATAAAAATTACTAGTTGTGTACGTGATTTTGTTTAATTCTCATAAATATCATGCTAATTAATCACGTATCATGGTAACAATTTCGTTTGATGTCCGAAGCAATGATCGCATAAGAAACTGCTCAATGGCCTCCACAAGTTCATTTTGACAAGTGAAAGGAAGAAGTACAAAGATCGATATCATATGAGACCTCGACATGTGCTTGGGGTTGAACCAGGGTAATTAGGATTAATGTAAGCGTGAGTTAATTTAATTGTGTGTCACTGAAATTAATTTTAATTAGAACGTCAACCATGAATGGATCCCAATAATTACCAGAATGTATCATGGTTGGATCCCAACAATTAGCTGAGCACCCGGGTTGGATTCCTATAAATTAGTTATATACCATGTACTATACATGTCTGTATCGATTCAGGCCTTCTGGTAGACGTAATTTTTTATTTAAGATAAGAATGCAAGTAAGTTGACACATGTTCTTTGGAAAAAGAAATTGTTTTCCGTACACATAAACAAACAGAAGATTTGTTTTCTTAAATTTTTTTTTTATTTTACTAAGTTGGAATATTAAGTTGGAGGGAAAGCCCCAAAAGTGTGTAGTATTTGTAAGGCATTTCTAGAACTTGAGGTTCCTAAATTTTAATGTTTTTGTCATAAAATTATTGTTCAATTTAAATTTTTTGTTTTAGTACAAATTATACCAAAGATGAAATCTTCAACTAGACAATAATTTTGGAACGAATGTAGTAATTAAGATACCCTTTCAATATTAATCGAGTTTCATCTGCATTTCCTTTTTAAAAGTATAAAAGAAAACATACATGCAGTGTGATACTCTTGCATTTTGTTTAAAACCGTATTTAAATTTTAGTAAATCATACATTTTTAATCACTATGTGACCTTCAAATTACGATTTTAGGTCCATTTTGAATGCAAACTAGTCTTTCAATCTATATAATTTTCATTAGTGTAAAGCAACCCGAGGGTAATCAAAATGTAATAAAATATGCCTATACTTTTGGAGAGGGAAAAAAAAAAAAGAGGAAAAGGTACAAGAACATATACAGAATGGCAAGAGCGAGCCGACCTTTCGAGTCCGTATCCAGTACATCCGGGTATATCATATATCCTACTAAATATACGCGCTACATGCGCTCAACATTTTTCACTTTTACATTAAATGCACAAACAAAATTGTTTTCATCCATTTTACTGTTTTCATCCTCACGCACAAACACACACAATTGCTGGTTATCCATAATTTATCCACAAGTTGTAAACAGGTTATCCAGAAGGGGTAAACTAGTTATCCAGAAGGTGCAAACTGGTTATCCACAAGTTGTAAACTGGTTATTCACAAGGCGTAAACTGGTTATCCAAAGGTGTAAACTAGTTATCCACAAGTTGTAAACTGGTTATCCAGAAGGTGTAAACTGGTTATCCATAAGGTGTAAAATGGGTTTTCCAGAGGTAAAGAAGCAAACGACATGTTAATTGGGGGACTTCGCCCCCATGATAAACTAAACGACTCCCGCGGCTACCGGTATCGCAGGTCACCAACCTGCCTCGGCTGCGCCGCCCCGCCGAACACGCCAATGTAGCTAAGGTAATCCGTTTTTCGTATGTCTATAAGGAGAGTGTGTTATTGCGTTAAGAGGGGACACAAATTACTTGTATAAATCCCCCATGTGATAAACTAAACGACCCAACTGCGCCGGTGCCCGCGGGTGCACCGCCCCCCTACCGAACACGGTAAATTTCATAAATAGTATTTAATTGAATGAGTGACATTTTGCCAAATGATGGAGAACAAAAAATGAATGAGGGGCAGTTTGCCAAATAATGGAAATAAGGTACGTTCAATTGTGTATAACTAATAATCCATATTGTCAATACTGGTTATCCAAATGTGTATAACTAATTATCCATAGTGCCAACACTGGTTATCCACATGGTAAACACTGGTTGTCCATAGTGTGTAGCTTTGCACAGCAAGGTATGGGAGATGGAGGAAGTCAAGAAACAAGGTTATTGTCCTTTGTACATCAGCTATAGCGATTTACCCTTGCCATTGCAACGTTGCTTCTTATATCTGGGGTCTTTGATCTTGACAAGTGTCACACACGTTGAGCAACTCATTGCGGCGTGGATGGCGAAGGTTATCTTGGCCCTCCAAGCATAAACGGTGATCGAAGGAGGCGAATGAAGGTCCGGAATATTTCAATCAATTGGTAAATCGTTCTTTCTTCCTCAACTTCGTCAAAAGTTCTATCCACAAAGATCAAATATTAAGTTTCCAAGTAAACATTAGAGTTCTTGGATTTGCAAAATGGCTCGCGGGTGATCAAGTATCAACTTCGCAGTTCTTGGCGAATAAGGCTCAAGTAGTTTTCTAATAGCTTATCGCACTTCGATTCTTCCATGTCTAATTTCTTACGCTATGAGTGCATTCGGCTATTGGATTTATCTTCTTCTCAACTAAGATCACTCTCCGGGAGATACGAAGGTTAACTCTTCGCAATACTTAAACTTGTGTGATAATCCGTTAAAGCGACTACCAGAGACAAGATGTGATTTACTTAATCTAGAATTTCTAGATGTAAGTCTTTGTTACATGCTGGTTAAACTTCCTAAAAGGATTGAGAAACTTCAACGATTGAAACACCTGAGAATTGATCACACCACAGATGAGTTACAAAAATTGCCACCATCATTTGCCAGTCTTAGATGGATTTGCACTTTGGATGTCTTAAGGATCGGTGGACAGTACAATAGTATTGGAGTGCTGGAGCACCTTGATAATCTTGAAGAAATATGCATTGCTATTCATGGTAAAGTAGATTTTGAGCATTCAAAATTAATTTGTAGCAGTATTTCTAATAAATCATTGAACGATGTATGTAATTAAACATATTGAAATATTGTTCGCTTCTCAACAAGAGCGTTCGTTCATGGTAAAGGAAAATTCTATTTAATGAATATCAATCAAAAGATAAAACTAGAGTAACTTCTAATAAGTTGGATAATCGATGGTTTAAAAATAAGGATTGATGTCCTGAGTATTTACTAATTAGAACCTGAAGTTGAAGTTTTGTAAACTTTTCGCGAAGGTAATCGAAGGACAAAATGTCGCTATGCAACACGAATATGGAAACAAAGATGAATGGTTGGTCAATCATGAACCTACAAATGTCAAATTTCTCTTCTTCTTTCTTCTTTAGTAATCAATAGTTAATCGACAATAAAAATGGGATTTTTGGAATTCGAGTGAGATTACAATCGCATGTATATAAACTTCTCTAATTAGAAAAATGAGAGAGAAAAAGAAAAAAAAAGGAGAGTGAAAGTGTTTATATAAATGAATAATAATGATGGGGGCACATTGAACGGTTGAGAATGAATTTTGGGTGGAGGAAACTCAAAACTGTGGGATCCTACTATATTTATTAACTTGTCTTTAATGTAACAAAACAAAACTCCTTATCAATTTATTTATTTTTTTTTCCAAAATGCAGGGCACTTCCTCATCGAAGATTTTAGAGGTCCCCCCCGGTCCAAAAATTATATTCCTCGTAAATTGCTAACAAGCTCCAATCCAAGTAAATTAAGGGTTGATGTTGCACACATGCACAGATTATGATTATTAATAACTTAAATGAGATGACACATAAACATTGGATTGATCGTGATGAAGCAGTGGCTAAAATTTGTAACATATCGCTCAACTTTAATAAGAGTAATAATAACAAATTTATATTTTGAAGAACTTCATACACCAAACATGATTGCTTAATTTGTACTATGAAGTTCAGAAACTGGTTTAACATTTTTTACTACTCAAACCAAAAAAAAAAAAGGTTAAATAATTAGATAAAGAACAAAACAAAGCAAAAATTGTTTTGATACACATTACAAGTATCTATACAGAAAACAAACAAATAAAGATGGAGTTTGTGTGTGTAAATCAGGGACCCCTCCATTGCTGACCTTATCTGATGAAGCTGGGCAGAAGAAGAAGAAGAATAGCTAGGGCAGACCCGACCCCATTTTTATTTGGCAGTGATCGATCGAACACCCGACCTTTCTATTTCAGACGTCCGTGTCTTTGGTTCGTAAAAAATATAACAAGTATCCAATGCAAGTATTTT